CTCCAACAGCACATGAATGACTCATGCAAGGGGTCACAAACTAACCCAGAACATTTAAAGCATTGTCTCAGTTAAGTTCAGTGTTTATGATTCAACAATAACAAAGAGATTGGGCAAAAGTGACATCCATGGGCAAGTTGTAAAACCACTCCAGACAAAAGAACACAAAGCCATGTTAAAAAACCCACCAATGTAGATGACATGAAGTAATTTTGCCAGCTATCACAAATGCTTCATGGCCATTTTTGGCACAAAGGGCCTCCTTTACCAGTTAATAGACTTACAGCAAGGTTGGTTTGACTAGCTTTTCCCTTTGATAATTGAAATCATCAATTGAAATCTGCTTATTGGTCACTTTAGTAACTTTTGTATGATATCAAAATTTGTTTGATAACAAAAACAAAACAAACGACCAAGACGGATCGCTAATGGCCGCCTCGGCGCTTTGCTCTCTCGTTTTCTACGTGTTTTTGTGGTGCTTTCTGCCACCATTCGGTGGTCTCATTCAGCAGAGCGGGACTTCTAAACACCAGACAGTCCTCTCGGCATTTTTTTTACCATGCTCGTGAAGATCCAAAAGTGGGGGCTACGCGCACCCTTGCCTTCAATCCACCTGGCAAATGTGCATTCCCTGGCCAACAAGATGGACGAACTGCTTCTCCTCACCTGTAAAAACTCGGACCTCCGCGGATGTGCCGCACTCTGCTTGACCGAAACCTGGCTGAGTGAGAACACCCCGGACTGAGAGGAGTTCAGAGCGGACCTGTTTTTCTGTATTTCTAAAGAATAGTTTTTGGAGATACGTCTGTCACAGAAAGAATGTCGCTGACTTCCCCACAGTTATCAAAGTGTCTTATGATCACAATTCCTATCAATTTTTTTGTGCATTAAAAATAACTGAATAAAACTTGCATAAATAATTTTATTTTGTGATCTGGTTGACTCTCACTAAATGCACTAACCTTTTAGCAATTACTTCTGCTATGGGTTATCGGCATCTGAGAACAATCAGTGACTTTCTGATTATTTGTATTGCTTGTTTTAACCATATTTGGATTAGCTTCAAACAATCTGGCATTTGGTTCAAAGGCGAATAAAACAGCACCAAATGGGACTTTTTCATTTTAACCTGAATCCAAATGAAAAACACAGTTCAGAGAGAGGTAATTGTTAAAAGGACACTCAGTTTGCTAAACTTAGAAATAAATCCGTGTAACATTTTTTCCAAATAATTGTCTAATATTCTATAGATATTAGTGTATTATTAAACGTTTGCCAGGCTCAGAATATCAAAGCATTGGTACAGGAAAAATATCTGTTGTAATTCTCAGCTCCCTGTATGACAAGCATAAACAGGTTTTTTCTGTTCATGACAGCCTTATGAAGACTAAGCATGTACTGTTATTATTTCTTGATTATGAGTACTGCAAAAATAGCACCTAGACGATAGATGCCTTTCTCAGGGAGCAAATGAAACAGAGGGCAAACAATAAAAAGCCATCAAAGAAGACAAAGGGAAATCCATCAATCGTGCATGTGGAGCACAACTGTGACAGAGGAATCTGAATAAAAATCACACCATAGTCAATCATATTCTGTTGAAAGTGCAAATATAACTGAACATCTACATTGTTGTAAAGGGGAACTTTTGTACAAGACAGTTTTGTTGTGCACTTCAATGATGTCAGTTTTTGCTTATACAGCAATTCTGAATGATGCATTGCAAAGGGTACGAAAAGACACAAGCCCAGTTCTATTCCTAAGTTTACACTTTCTCACTCTCATCAGTAATAGATGGGTAAAGCCCTCATAATAATAATAATAATAATCATAATAATAATAATAATAATAATAATAATGTAGACTTTATGGATCTCAGTTCTATTCCTAAGTTTACACTTTCTCACTCTCATCAGTAATAGATGGGTAAAGCCCTCATAATAATAATAATAATAATAATAATAATAATAATAATAATGTAGACTTTATGGATCTCACAATGGAGAAATTATCCTCTGCATTTAACCCATCCCTTAGGGAGCACTGGGCTGCCATTGTGCGGCGCCCAGGGAGCATTCAGGGGCTAAGGGTCTTGCTCAGGGACCCAGAGTGGCAGGCTGTGGGATTCAAACCAGGGTACTCTCCGGGATGCAAATGCCCTGCTCTCTAACCACCGGGCCTACCACATTAATCCTGATCAAAAGTTTACATAACAGAGCTTTTAATACTGTGTATCTCCCTTTTAACATGAAAGCTTAAAGTCTTTTGTGGAAGTAGTGGATGAGGCACTTTGTTTTCTCAGATGGCAGAGTTCCCCATTCTTCTTGGCAAAAAGCTTTAGTTCATGTAAATTCTTGGGTTGTCTTGCATGAACTGCACATCTGAGATCTCCCTAAAATGGCTCGATGATACTGAGGTTAAGAGAGGGTGACGGCCCTTCCAGAACCTTCCTGTTTTACTGCTGTAGCCAATGACAGGTTGCCTTGGCCTTGTATTTTGTCAAGATTTTCCTCTGATATCTTTTTATGACTTGCTGCGTTCATCTTGCCATCAGTTCTGACCAAGATCCCTGGGCTTTTATAGCTCACAAATGCCCAAAACATCAGTGTTCCCGTCCATGTTTCAGAAGAGGAATAGTGTACTTTTCATCCTAGGCCTTGTTTTCTAATCTCCAAATATAATGAAAGTAGCCATAAATTTCAATGTTGGTGTTAGACCTCCAAATAACTTTGTCACAGAGATTTTCAGGTTTTGTTTCATTCAGTAATGCTCTTTTTTTGGTGACTCGAACATGCAGCCTATTTTTCTTTGAGTGCCACCTTCTTGTGCATCTAGAAACGGCTATATCAGTATTTTGAGAAAGCGCTGTATGTTAACTAATATTTCTGTGGATTTGTCTTATGCATCCTGGCAGAATTTGTTGTAGGTCTACCTGACCATAGCTTTGTTATAACAGAATCCCTCATTTTACACTTCCTAATTAGAGTTTGAATGCTGCTGGTTGGCATTCCCAATTCATTTTTATATCTCTTTCCTGTTTTATAAAGCTCAAATATATTCCCTCTCAAAGCCTTTGATAATTGTTTTCCTTTCCGTCAGAATGCAGCAACATCAGTGTAGCACTGGATGAAACATGCAGGGGTCTGGGTCTTTCTTATTCATGTATATCAACTTTTGTTTTTGTTCTCAGGCCAAAACTTCCAGGTTATGTAAACTTTTGATCAGGGTAATTTGAAAGGTTTCTGTTGTCGCTAAAAAGAGCAAACTGTTGTTTGGTGATTAATGGCTCTTTCCAACCACTATTATCAACAGGTTTAGTATTGTTAGTTATAGTCTCTGAAAATAGCCAATAAAAATCTAAGCTTCTGCCAGGGCATGTAAACTTATTAGCACAACTTTATAACTCAAGCTACCCTAATTGTTGGTTCCCGATTATCTTCTGAAAACCTACAACATAAGTAAAACAGAGACTTATTGCCTGTCAGAAGGTCCATGTTTCCCATGACTGTTTATAAACAATCTTTAAGGAAATTAAGAAACTGAGTAAATTTTTATATGAAAAATAAATGTTTTGAAATTTCTTCTGGGGGCACTCACTCTACAACACCTCATCATGGAAAACTCTGATCTACATTAGACTGAAGATGACTGGAATAGATTTTTATGAAAAACAGTTAAGGATCTGGATCTTCAGCTGAAACTACGAAAGAGAAAGTTGGTTAGTTATGAAACCTGCCATGATTGCCTTGGTAACCTGACTTAAACTTTTAAGTCTGATGCCAGTATTTGAATCATGCATTCAACAAATACACAGCTGCTCTGATATTGTTGATAAGTTACCTTGAATAACCCATAACAAGAACATTTAGGGTTTATACACCTGTGATCAGTGACAATGGTGGTTGATTAAACAAAATCCTCCATCCATTTTCTACACTTGTTGGCACCTCTGGTAAAGGTGTAAAAACCTTGAAATCCGGTATTTGATCATTTACCGCTGTAGCATAATCTCACATGGAAATTAAGCTTTTTAGTCTCTTCCCTTCAGCTGCTTCCTGTTCATTTGGGTTTTCTGTAAGATTTAAATCTGGGGACTGAAGTGGCCCTGATAGAGGGCTGGTTTTCTGTTCGGTGAACCATATCTGTATTGATATGTCTCTGTTTTAGATCATTATTCTGTTTAAATACCAAATTATGTCCTATTTTTTGCTTACTTGGAGAAGCCACCAGATTCACATGAACACAAATTTAATGGCAATGTAGTCTCCAATTAACCCAACATAACCACACACCATCTTACTGTAACCTTTCTTGTTTATATAACTTTAAATTGTTCACCATACAGTATGTTTGTTTAGCCACTTGAAATGCAGAATTGTTCTACATCACTTAAATATGCAGGAGTAAAATAAATCTTAATGATTTCATCATAAATAAATAAAAAAATGATAAACTATTTCCTGATTAAACAAAACCGCAAGCAGCAAAATTCATCAATCTTTGTACTAATAATTCAACAGACCAGTTAGCAGTAAAAGGATTAGCTCTCAGTAATCCAGACTGATGGAGTCCACAGCTTCCAAGGCTTCTCCTTTGAGACCTATGGCAGGAAGATATTCCCTTGACATACAATTAAAGATAATTAGGGTGTCAGAAGGAGAGCTTTATTTAACAAGCTGTATCCTAAATTACCTTTAATTGACATGGTCATTTTAAAAAATCATTGGCAATGTCTGACAACTCTTTTCGCATTTCCAGATGTTTGCCAGGGCAAAAAGACGTGACCTCCGTCTTCTGATTTATGACTTTCAGACAAAATTGCTCCTGGCCACTAGATTACAAACATAGTTTACACTAAGGAGCAATATGTTTCTCATGTCTGAATTTAATACTGATCGTTAGTGTGTCTGACTGTAAACGATAAATTATGTCCAGATGTGCACACATTTATACACAAACGCAACTTGAGGTGAAGTGCCTTGCCCAGGGGCACATCGACATGTAGCAGGAGGAAGAATCGAACCTACAACTTTCAGCTTGTAAGACAACTACTCTTCCACTGAGCCACAGCCAAAAGTTGAAGATGTTCTTCACCTCTCCTGCTTACGTTTGCAGTCAGAAGAAGGGCCCTGATATCTCTCTAAAAGACAGGCAGGGCTGACCTCTCCTGGCATGGGCTTCTGGGATGTCTAGCTGCTCATTACTTTTCAGAACTGTGAGATATACTTGGAAGGAATAATATTCTGGCCAAAGACTTCAAATCCTGTTTAGACAGCTTTAGACTACAGCAGTATATGAATTTTCCCACACATTTAACGCACATATTTTGGACTTTATCTGCTGCTCAAGTGTTACACCTGTTGGCTGCAAAGCAGATTCTCTTCCTCTTTCAGACCATAGGTTTTTATTGTTCAGTAGCTGTGTTTCCATTTACCATCAAATGTCGCAAATTGTAATTACGAAAACAAAATTGCTTAATGGAAACACGGCAATTTTGAAAAAACTCCCGTTTTCTGATAAAAAGTTTTGGCGCTAGGATGAGGTAGTTTTTTGGCTGTATTGAATCAGAATCAGAATCAGAATCAGCTTTATTGCCAAGTTTGTACATACAAACAAGGAATTTGACTCCGGTACACTTTGCTCTTTGGTTTTTGTTTTTGCACTACAGAATATACATATCTACAATGTACAAATATACACATATATAAATAAATAAAAAGGTGCATTTGCAACATCTGTCTGCTGTTGTTTTGTACTCTATTGAATGTTCAACATAGAAACAGCCTGGGGGAAGAAACTGTCTCTGTGGCGGCTGGTTTTAGTGAACAGCGCCCTGTAGCGTCGGCCCGAAGGCAGAACTCTAAACAGTTTATGTGCAGGGTGTGTGGGGTCTGCAGAGATTTTAACAGCTCTTTTCCTGACCCTTGACCTGTATAAGTCCTGGATGGAGGGAAGGTCAGCCCTGATGATTCTCTCTGCAGTCCTGATTATTCGTTGCAGTCTGGACCTGTCCTGTTTTGTGGATGAACCAAACCACACTGAGATGGATGAAGACAGGACAGACTGAATGATGGCAGTGTTGAAGATGACCAGCAGCTCCTGTGGAAGGTTGTACTTCTTGAGTTGCCTCAGGAAGTACAGTCTCTGCTGGGCCTTCTTTCGAACAGTGTCTATGTGTGAAGACCATCTCAGGTCCTCAGAGATGGTGGTTCCTAGGAACCTGAAGTGGTCCACAGCCGACACGGTGTTGTTGAGGATAGTGAGGCGGGTGTATGGAGGTGGTGTTTTCCGAAAGTCCACCACCATCTGAAATTGGTGTATTTCGCAAAGCTGCAATGGGAACACTTTTTTTGCATCACGGATCACGTGATCAACAACCGGATGGTACTACTGGTACTATTAATTTACTCTTCTGTAAAATCAGCTACTACAATTTCCCAAAAATGGCGCATACATAGCCACTCCCAAGTACAAGGGGCTTGTCATTCCAACGCCTCAATAAGATGCTGGCGTCTCCTCTCATGGCTGATGATGAGCACTAGTACCATGGTTGAAATATGATGTACCTCATGTATGTGTTTACATCTGTCACTGCAATGATTTTTAATGAGTTATCGCGTGAACAAACGTATTCACGTGTGATTTTAATTGTATTTCTTATTTAATGGAAACACTGCAATTGCGAAATGGTATTTTTTCCGACATTGGCAGAATATTGACAAAGTTTTGTGCACATTTGTAATGGAAACGCAGGTACAGTTAACCTTTCACTCTCTAAATCTAACCCCCCCTGCAATATAACTTTGTGTACAATTAAGGATATCAGCTTGGTCAAGTTATCTTCTTGTATCAATAGCCTTCCCAGTGTTGGCAGGTTTTCTATACCCCAAAAGAATTGCTCTTACACTACAACAACTCCCTTCATAACCTTTTTAATACATTTTGCTGCAGTCAAAACCAGATCTGTTTCATTTACTCATACTGCACCTTGGTTCACTCCCACTCTCAGACAATTGAAAGCAAAAGGACGTCAACTTGAAATACTTTATAGGAAAACTGGTCTCACTGAGCACAAAGACATGTATTCAAATCATATCCTTCATTACAAAGACTGCATTCCTGCATCCAAATCCATATATTGTTCTGTTATAATCAGTTAAAAAAGTCTCTAAGGCCTTCTTTAACCTACTTACAAATATTATATATAATATATATAATATTATATATAATATTATATATAATATTATATATAATATAATATCTGGATTCACTTCCTTCCAACTTGTATTCCTCTGATTTCTGTAACACTCTGGTATCATTTTTCTCCTCTGAAATAGAATGTATCCACCAACAGCTTAAACCTACTTCTGCTTCAATTACATCTGCTCCAATTTAATTTGTTCCCAGCCATTCACTTTCAGTATTCAACTCAACCTCAGTTAATGAAGTATCCAAACTCATTCAAAACTCCAAATCTTCAACTTGCCAGTTAGACCCTATTCTAATTGTCCTTGTCAAATCTACCCTCTCCTCACTGTCTCGTCTCATCACAGACTTTATGCATTCTTCCCTTAACACTGGTGTTCCTTCCACCCTCAAAACAGCTGTTGTAACCCCAACACTCAAGAAACTTGGTTCAGACCCCAATAACCTTAATAATTTTCATCCATTTTAAATCTTTCATTCATTTTCAAAATTTTTGGAAGAAACAGTCGCTGTGACCTTTGATACAATCTCAAACACCATCCTGCTCAACAGACTTTCCTGTCTTGGAATCACAAATACTGGTTTTATACTTAACTGGTTTTATTCATACCTTTTAGGCCACACTCAGTTCATTCAGTTTAAATCATTAAATTCCAATCCAGGCCGCGTCAACTCAGATGTCCCCCAGGGGTCTGTCCTGGCGCCCCCACTGTTCATTACTTACCTTCTTCCCCATGATCAGATTTTGTGCAGACATCGTGTTCACTTTCACTATTATGCGGATGACACCAATCTCTACCTCTCAACCAAACCCAACTACATACTCCCACCTTCTTCCTTTAGATTGCCTCCTTGAAATAAATCCTGGTTCCCCTCAAACTTCCTTAAATTAAATTCCAATAAAACAGAATTTCTCATAATAAGCACAAAATCTACATTAAACAAACTTCAAAACTTTTGTATTTCTATCGATAACTCCTTCATTTTTCCTTCCCCTGAGGTCAAGAGTCTGGGTGTCATCCTTGACAGCATCCTTTCCTTCGCTTCCCATGTCAATAATTTTACTCGGTCTGCCTATTTCCATTTTCGTAATATCAATTGTCTTGACCCTTCTCTCACTTCCTCACTCACAGTCTGGTCACTTCTTGTTTAGGTTATTGTAATTCTCTTCTTTTCGGCCTTCCACATAAAACCCTTCATAAATAACAACTGGTCTAAAACTCAGGTGTCCGTATCATCACATGCAGCCCTTCAATAATCACATCACACCTATTCTACTGCAGCTTCATTGGCTCCCAAACTATAAAATACTCCTCCTTACCTTTAATACTGTCCACAAGCCTCCGGTCCCAATTTTCTGACCTCTGTCACATTGCTACACCCACCTGCACCCTCAGATCTTCTTATTCTATTCATCTTACTGTTCCCTCTGCCCATCTTGTTACCATGGGGAGCAGAGCATTCAGTTGCTCTGCTCCCCAGCTCTGGAACTTACTCCTCACTACCTGCTTTTATGTTTTATGATGTAAGGTTACCTTGAGTGTCAAGGAAGGCGCCTATAAATAAAATCTATCATTATTTTTAAAACTACATTTCTTGCAGCAAATTCACACAAAAAAATCAGATGAACTTAGCAAAGCATATGATGCAAAGCAAACAAAGAAACATTTATCTCAATAGCTCCAAGGACTGGCCGGGTTCTGGTAACTCGTTTAGGTCTGGTTACTTGTTTGGATGAAGGGTTTGTTCTGAGGTTCAGTCTCAAGTAAAGCGGACCAGTGTAAGGGAGGGGCAGCAACGCAGGAGCGGATTTTTATGTAAAAGTGTTATGTGCTCATTCAGCCAATAAGTAAGGACTTAATTAACCAATTACATTGATCCTTTCCCATTTTATGGCGAAACCCTCAAAACTATTCCCTTTTTTACCTGAAACCAATTGTCTGCTGGCCAGTTTGTGTATTCGAGGCATTTTCTACATGTGATCATTTCACAGGATAAAAAACACTTGACAGCTACATTTAGGATGTTAACACAAGGTCAGTCAGTCAGTCAGTCATTTTCTATACCGTTCTTTCCATAGTGGGTCGCAGGGAAGCTGGTGCCTATCTCCAGCAGTCTATGGGCAGGAGGTGGGGTACACTCTGGACACGTCGCCAGTCCATCGCAGGGAAACACAAGGTATCATTCATTACTAAAACTTATGACTAATTATGGATTATTTCAATGCAAAGGAAATAAAATGGGTGACCTTCAAAATCTTTTGTTTTATCTCAGACTTTCCCAAAAGCCCGTAGCGGGGTTGTGTTAACCCAAAAAGCTGGTACACAATTTTTAAAAAAAACAATTTTTTTAAGGAAAAAAAAATTCTATCTTTGAAAAGGGTAATTTTTGGCAAACCAAGGCTAAATTTATAAAATCTCCTGACCCAGCTGAGTCTAGCAGGGCAAACCGTGTCTAGAGGAAAGGTAGAATTTCGAAGTTGTTCCCACTAAAAGGAGTAATTCTTTTCTTTGTAGCAAAAAAAAAGATTTTTGTTTGAAAAACTGTAGACCAACTTCCAGTTAACAAGTCAAGGACTTTATTTATGACTGAAAACACAAGAGATATCATGCTTTGGAGTATCTGATAAAAAAACAAGAAAAGCAGACTACTTGAACAATGTCAGAAGTTGAAATTCCATGCAGAATTTAAAAAAATTGTGTCCTACTATTTTCCATCTTGATACTTACCATTAAACAAGAAGTACCACTAGAATCCTGCATCAGAAGGCAAAGTTCATCGTTATCAGTGAATTTGAATTCTCAGGTTTAATTTGAAAAAAAATTAACTTAGATGGGAGTAGATTCTTTTTTTAATTTTTTTAAA